CAGATTTGGAAAAATTTTGCATTTTATCACTTGCTCACTAATGGATTCTCTGCAGTGAATGGGTGCCGTCAGAATGAGAGTCCAAACCACTGATAAAAACATATCAATAATCCACAAGCAATCCACATGACTCCATCAATTAATGTCTTGTGAAATGAGAAGCTGCACGTTTGTAAGAAACAAATCCATCATTAAGGCATTTTAACTTTAAATAGTTGCTTCTGGCCAAAATACCAGTCTACAATCCATAATAATGTTTCCTACAGTGAAAAAGTCCTTCATTTGTTGTTTTCTCACATCAAAATCCACCAACACATTTGTTTAGAACTGTTTTCCTGATTCAGACAAGACGAAAACAATATTATGGATTGAAGCTATGGATTAAAGGGGTCATATTATGCTCTTTTAGAAAGTCTTGATTTTGTGAGTGGACTTTGAACTTTGTAACTTTGCAGATCTTTTTTTATGCTCAAACAGCAACATTACAGACTAACATTGAAAAAGTGAAAAAGCATAATAGGACCCCTTTACAACAAAAAACATCTTATTGATGGATTTGTTTCTTACAAACATGCAACTGTTCATTTCACAAGACATCAATTGATGGACTGGAGTCATGTGAATTACTTGTGGATTATTGTATGTTATTCTCAGCTGTTTGGACTCTCATTCTGACGGCACCCATTCACTGCAGAGAACCCACTGGTGAGCAAGTGATGTATTAATACATTTCTCCACATCTGATCCAGTGAACAAACAATCTCATCTACATCTTGGATGACCTGAGGGTGAGTTCATTTTTGGGTGGACTTTTCTTTAGATTTACGTTATCAAAGTAGCTTAAAATAGCTTACCAAGCCTCAAAAGTTGTATTGTTCAAGCAGAACTTAAACTGTAATTATCCAAATGAAATGCAACAGTACTGTGTGCTAATGAGTGTTCTCCTCGGGGAGCATCTCTGTTATTGGTGCTGAGTGGGTGGTACAGGCTAATTACTAGAACAAGACGAGACATCAGTAGACAAAAACAAGGCTTGTACAGAGGCACAAAATCACTAAACGGGTCTAGGATGTGACAGCCATATTGTTCCTTTCTGGATTCATCTCTCAAGCTGACATGAGAGAGCTGCTCACTATTTTGGTATGACGTCTTTCTCAAAAGAAGTTTACTGATTTGGGGTGCTCCACTAAGAACATGGAAAACCTTACGGTGAGTTTCAGATTTTTAGATTTTGAAAGCAAGGCATTAAATGCAATAAGCTTCGAAAGAACTGGGTTTTTTTTAGGCACAACGCAAAGCAGAGAGTCTAAAAGGCCACTACCTGTGGTAAAAATCACAGTAACTGATGGAATTGAGTGGGTTATTGCTGTTATAAAACCACAGCAATATGGTAAAAGATATATTTAAGTTTATGGTTGCCAACCAACATAGCAGCTTGACACATTAATAGAATGCGACTTTAAAAAAAGCTCAGCTAATAAGAAAGTTAGAGTTGGAACTGTCCGTTTTAGAAATTGTATTATCCAACCGGTGAATTTAGTTGATAATTTACATCAAATAGTTGTGCAACTATTTTTGTGTAAACTTTCAATCAATTTTAATGCATTCTTTCTGAATAAAAGTATTAATTTCTTCCCAAAATATATATATATATTCTGAATTTCTGACCCCAAACTTTTGAACAGCAGAGTAATTGTAAACAGTGTCACCAGTGTCAATAAAATGGGAGAAATAAATGTAAATATCAAGTACTGGACCAGAATTTTATCTGGTTTGCTTCTTGAGGTTATTTCACCCTCTAATGATGGTTTGGTGGGTGATTTTAATTTCTTCTGTGTCCCGTCTCTGTGAGCAGCCAGACAACTGGCGGGAGATTGTGAACAAAAAGCTTCACTTTCCACCGGAGCTGATCCCCGCCATCCAAGAGGGCAACACAGTCTGGGTGGACAGTCTCCTCTCCCTTGGTGACGGGATCATCCGTCAGCTGGACGAGTCTGAGGATCGGTTATGGAGGGAAGCATTGAACCTCTCCATTCGACTGGGCAGTGAAGACATCATGACCTCCCTTCTGCTGGGTGTCAAGTTTGACTTCCGTCAGATCCACGAGGCTCTGCTGGTGGCCGTCGACACCAACCAGCCCAGATTCGTCAAACATCTCCTGGACCGCCTGGATCAGGAGAAAGGCAACAAGATGGACGTTCGTTCTTTCAGCATGGACATTTTCGACCACTCCATTGACGATTCTCAATTCGCGCCAGGAGTGACCCCACTAACGTTGGCCTGCCAAAAGGACCTGTATGAGATCGTAACTATGCTGACCCAGAGAGGCCATGATATTCCTCTGCCTCACTCCATCTCGTGCACATGCCTGGAGTGCCGTAACGGCCGGCAATACGACTTGCTCAAGTTCTCACTATCCCGTATAAATACGTACAGAGGCATCGCCAGCCGTGCATATCTGTCCATCACCTCAGAAGACGCCATGCTCAGCGCTTTCCACCTCAGCCGAGAACTGCGCAAACTCTCTAAGAAAGAACCAGAATTCAAGGTGAGCTCCGAAAAATTCATTAATTTATAGAAAACATTACAAATAGCAACAAATTCTTTGGAAAAAAAGATGTGTTCGAGGCAATTGTCTGTTTTTCCATTAACTATTAAGAATATGCAGTGCTGGGTAGTAACAAATTACATGTAATCTGGATTATGTAATCAGATTCCAAAAAACTTAAGTACTTTATTATATTATGGTTTTTATGGATTACATGACTACATATTGTTCACACAATGGCAATTTCATAATGATGGTTGGAATATTTTCTCTTTCTTTGTTTATGTATACATACATATATATATATATATATATATATATATATATATATATGCCCAGCACTGACAATATGCTACCCATAACTGAGTGTTTTTACTTTTTCTTTGTATTGTCAGTATACTTAATACGCTATCTTCATAGTTATCAGCATTTGGTTTTATATGTAAACACATTTAATAATTGATTTGTATCATCACTTTCTTGATGTTTAGCCTCAGTACCTGGAGTTGGAACAGCTCTGTCAGGAGTTCGCAGTGGAGCTGCTGGGAGTGTGCCGGAACCAGAGTGAGGTCTCCACCATCCTCAACAGCGCTGACGATGACAACGAGGATGAAGAACTTAATGAACAGACATTTGAGGAAGGTATCCCCAACCTTGCTCGTCTTCGACTGGCGGTCAACTACAATCAAAAACAGGTACATCATGTTGGTTTAATTGCAGCAACTGATAAATGTGATAAAACAATGTCACTATCTATATTAAGTCTTTTCCTCAAAAACAGAAAAAATAAAAATAAATAAATAATTTCAGTATCAATATTTAAGGCATATATGACTGTCTTCTTTCAGACGAATCTAATTTGAGTTATATTAAAAAATGTCCTAGCTCTTCCAAGCTTTATAATGGCAGTGAATGGGTGACATTCAATAGTCCAATAGAACTGAAGTCCAATAAAGTGCATCCATCCATCATAAAAAGTGCTCCACATGGATCCGGGGATGAATAAAGGCCTCGTGAAGCGAAACTATGCGTTTTTGTAAGAACAATATCCATATTCAAAACTTTATAAAGAGTAATCTCTAGCTTCCGCGTTCCGACGTATGACGTAGTAGGTAGGCGTGAGCTCCGGTGAGAAGTGTCTAATGCAGAAACACAGATGAGAGAGCAAAACAAAACACCGGCAACGAATTAGAAGTACAAAACGAGGATTTGTAAAGAAAATTTTCGGAGGATTTCGATATATATATATTTTTTTTTTTCAGTTAATGATAATAAAACTTAAAATGAAAACAATATAAATACTAGTTCAAAACATCAGCTAAAAACTATAATAGTATCTCGATACCAAAATTCCACTGACTAGTTTAATTTATTTTATTTTATTTTATTTTAGAAGAAAATACTTAAAACGGATAATTCACCCAAAAATTTAAAATACCCCATAAATTACTCCCCCGCAAGCCATCCTAGGTGTATATGACTTTCTTCTTTCAAACAAATACAATCAGAGTTACATTTAAAAAAAAAGAGTCCTGTCTCTTCCAAGCTTTATAATGGCAGTGAATGGGTGTTATGTTTCAATAGTCCAAAAGAAGTCCAACAAAGCGCATCCATCCATCATAAAAGTGTCCCACACGGCTCCGGGGGGTGAATAAAGGCTTCCTGAAGCGAATCTATGTGTTTTTTGTAAGAAAAATATCCATATTTAAAACTTTATAAACAGTGGAGTTCAGGTCAGTGTTATTTTAGTATCACTGAGATACAATTATATTTTTCATTTTAATTTGATATACCAAGCCAAATCTTAAAAAAAAAAAACTAGGTAATTTAAATAAAATAAAACAAAAATAATTAGGTAATTTAAATGAAATAAAATTAAAATAGTAAAAAAAACTACAAAAAAAACACTAAAATGCTATGCTCTGGTTAAACTACCCAGTGGAGTTCAGGTGTCTTATTTTAGTATCATTGAGATATTGATTTCTATTTCATTATCATTTACTTTAATAGTTATTATTTATATAGTATATGTTTTAGTAATTTTGTTGAGGTTTTGTTATTTTTTTATTGATTGATTTATTACTTTTTTTTTTTTTAAATATGTCTACCTAGTTTTTATTCATTTTTATAATAATAATTCAATATGATTATTATTACTGTAATAATATAATGAATAATAATTTTAAAAATAATGATTTTTTTTATGTATTAGTAATTAAACATTAATAACAAATACAGATAACATTTCTTAATTAAAAATACAAATACAATAATAATAATAATAATAAATATTATTATTTTATAATTGTATTATTATATTGATTTTTTTGCATTATTATTATTAAAATAAATAAAAATGCAATTAATTAATATGATATAGAGGGTATTTGAAATGTAATTGTATTTTTTACATGTAGTAGTAGTATTAGTTGCAGTATTATTATTATTTACTACTACTACTATTGTATAATTTTATCATATGTTTCTGAATAGTACGAGAGGACTGGAAACAGGAGGATCCTCAGCTGATTGCAGAGACTCGCCGTGACCAGCATGCTGAGTTTCACACGTCTCGCCTACATTCTGCCGGCCCATGAATCCCTGGGAACCCTGCAGATATCCATGGGAAGAATGATCGATAACATGATGAGGTCAGATCTTGCTGTTTGATCTCTGCGATTGGATGTTCAGTATAGCTATGAGAGGAGAACACCATTAAATTGCTTTCATCAAATGTTTTTCTTGCTCTACAGGTTCATGTTCATCCTTATGATTATTGGAACAGCATTTTTGTGTGGAATAAACAACATATACGTCCCGTATGTTGTTTCTCCACATCTTGGCAGGTGATTAATAACTTGTTTACATGTAATTAAATGTATTTGGTTGGTTTGAAATCACCCAGGAGATGCATCTTAAATATGTTTGTCTGTTGTATTCATTTTAGATTGAATGATACATTTAACTTCCTCTTCTGGACCATGTTTGGAATGGCAAACCAGGAATACGTAGACATGCCTGATGAGTTTGTGGGAAGGATCTTTTACGGGATATTCACACTGCTCATCGTCATAGTGCTACTCAACATGCTTATTGCCATGATCTCCAATTCGTTTCAGAGGATCGAGGTGTGAAGCTTAAAAGATCATTATAGAAGATTTAAAATCTCAACATGCAAACAAGATATTACAGAAAATTTGTGGACCAGTGTGGTGTTATTTTTCCCACAGAACACAAAAGGAGAATCTTTTAACAGAATATGTATGTATCTTTTCCATACAGTGACACATTGACCACATCTGTTAAAGGGATAGTTCACACTAAAATGACAATTGTCATCATCTCCACTTGATCCAAAAGAACATATTTTAAAGAGTGTTGGTAAGGAAACAGTGAACAGTAGCCACTGACTTCCATAGTATTAAAAAAATAATAATATGGAAGTCAATGGATACCGTCAACGGTTTGGTTACCATTATTCTTCAAAATATCTGCTTTTGTGTTCACCAGAAGAAATAAGGGTTTGGAACAACTTGAGGATGAGTATCATGACAGAATTTTCATTTTTGGGTGAACTATACCTTTAAGCTAAAAAAAAAAAAAGACCAAACATGCCATAATGTAATGAATGCCCACTGGAGGCAAGTTGAATGAGAACCCGTGTGCAGTTTAATAAAATCCGAAAGTGAGCAGAAACACAATAAACAAGACTTGGCAAAACATGAAGAAACTCACCAAACAGTGGTTACACAAACAAAGCTAGACAATGCAGTGGTGACAGGAGGGCTATATAAAGCAAACAATTGGGGGGTCACATGACACATTCCAACCAATGAGAACAAGACACATGAACTAGACAACCAATCAGAACCTGACACATAGAGCAAAGGAACCAATGAGAACAAAACACATGAACAAAAGGATCCCATGACAGGGTCAGGGAAACATGACGAGGAAGGGAACAAAATAAAACACAAGAAAACCTAAACAAGAAACAAAACCAGCGTGACACGTGAAAAAGCACCTTAAAAGAAGTCCATATGACTCAAGCACTATATTCCAAGATTTCTGAAGACATATGATTGCTTTATGTGAGGATTAGATTGAAATCTACACTACTGTTCCAATGGGCTCAATCCAGTCTTTTAAAATAAATTAATAATTTATATAGCAAGGATGCATTATATTGATCAAAAGTGTCAGTAAATGCTATTCTTTTGAAATTTCGATTCATCAAAAAATCCTGAAAAAATGTCTCACTGTTTCCACAAAATATGTTGAGCAGTAAAACTGTTTTCAACATTGATAATAATAAGAAATGTTTCTTGAGCAGCAAATCAGCACTGTAGAGTGATTTCTGAAGGATCATGTGACACTGAAGACTGGAGTAATGATGCTGAAAATTCAGCTTTGCATTTCAGAAATAAATTACATTTTAAATTACATTCAAACAGAAGACTATTATTTTAAATTGTAATAATATTTCACAATAGTATTGTTTTACTGTTTTTTGGTCAAATAAATGCAGCCTCCATGAGCATAAGACACTACTTTCAAAAATATTACATTTTTAAACACATTACGTATGTTCATGCTGTCTCTTCCTCTCAGGATGACGCAGATGTCGAGTGGAAGTTTGCTCGTTCTAAGCTCTACCTCAGTTACTTCAGGGAGGGTCTCACTATGCCAGTTCCCTTTAACAGCATCCCATCTCCAAAGGCTCTCTTCTATACCTTGAGGTAAGATAACCTGACAAGCAATGCTAGGAGCTACCTCTTATGCAGACTATGTGAACTGACGATCATTTATGACCAGATGTAACCTTCCTGTTCCTCCCGGTTTTGTGTAGAAGCATCTGCCAAAAGATTTGCTGTTGCTGTAACAAGAAAGCCCCAGAATATCCTCCCATCGCATCTTTGGTGAGTATCTGATGGGTTTCTATCTCTAGATCCTCCATGATTCTTGGTTAAATTTGGCTGATGATGTGTTTTTCGTATTTTTTTAGTCTAGCAATACTCTGAATAGCAGCGGAGGTCAAGGTGAGGGCAGAGTGCCATACCGCCTGCAGGTGACCAAAGCTCTAGTGCACCGCTACATCGAAGCCGCACGCAGAGAGTTTGAAGAGAGCAAGCGTAAAGGTAGGTCATCTTTTCGGCATCAAGTAATGATCCAAAAAGCATGCAGTATTTCAGTTATTAAAAAAGCCATAATAGTGACACTTTCATCATTAAACATTAATTATGTCGAACTACGTACCTAAAAATGAGCTGTTCAGAGTGCTGTGGCCTAGTGATCAAAGATCTGTGCTGGTAACCACAGGTTCAATCCCCAGAAGAGGTAATCCTTTTAGAAAGACACTTCACCACAAGTTTCTCCAGAGGGATTTTCCTTTTAATGAAATAATATAATATGTGCACTGCACATGAATAAGTGTCTGAAAAATGAATACTTACTTGTTTTAAGACAGTTACTTATGACCATTTTGGGATCAGCTTCAGTGCTTGGAATGGCATACTATCATAATTCAGCTTCAGTATACACTTTATTCTGCCTACTATTTTTAAGCAAGATGTGAAACAATAAGGATTTTGTAAATGTAAACACTTCAAATAGCAGTATACTACATTGTCACATGATTTCAATATATGCAGCGCAGTAAGTGACATGCCTTTGCACTGCCATTCAAAAGTTGGGGTTTTAAAGAAATTAATTCTTTTATTCAGCAAGGATGCAATAAATTGATTAAAAGAGACAGAAATATTTTTAACATTATACATTTCTTTATGATTTCAAATAAATGCCGCTATTTTGTTAACATTATAGTTAATGCATTAAAATGCACTATAAAGCGCATTAGCACATTACAAATAACAATAGCTTTTCATCACAAAAATAAAACACATTTTAAAATACATTACAATAGAAAAGAGCTAATTTAAACTGTAATATTTCACAATTTGACTGTTTTTACTGTATTTTTATAAAATAAATGCAGCTTTGGTGAGCATAAGAGACTTCTTACAAAAAAAGAATGAAAAGAAAAAAAAAGAAAATAAATAACTACTACAGAAGAACTATATACACTAACCACAAACTTTTGAATGTCAGTGTATCTTAGAAATATAAATGGCAATTTCGCATTTTTAATCCAATTTTGTGTCCAGTCTAATCAAATAATGAAAAAAACAAAGTGTAACAGAAAACAAATCCTTTTGACAACTGTAGTTTGTTATCCAGAAATGTCATCTATACAGACACATGTGCATACTATTCATACTGCAGCAATAGTGTGAGTAGTGTGAGTAGTGTGATAGTATGTGGTTCTGAACATTGCCATTGTTTTCGCTACTAACTGCTGCTGTTGTGATGTTCAGATGTTGGGAACAGAATCACTGAGCTGAATAAAGTTGTCGGCCGACTGCACTCCGAGATGCAGGAGTTTCACCAGAAGCTGCAGTGGCGGCGCAAAAGCGAGCCGGACCAGGCCAGCATCCTGGGCAAATACATCATGGGCGCAAGGAACAATTTCCGTGACTTTGATAAGAATGAGGCCATGGGGTGCGAAAACACAGGTCTGCCCATCAGTACGCATCCCGCTCAGGAGGAGGAGGACGACGAGAGGGAAGGAGAGATCAAAGCAGGAGGGAAGGAGAGATCAAAGCAGGAGGGATCGTCTCAGAGGAGAGGGAGGAGCCCGAGTCCGAGGGCCCTGTGGAGCCCGTCCCAGGAGAAGAAACTTCTTTTGAGACTGCTGACACTGCTGATGTGTGAGAAACAAACACTGCACTGTCGCAGCGCATAGCCATTCCCTGAAAAATACCTAGTCACAAGTTTCTAGATACATTCATAGCACTTTGAATGACTGAGAAATACATTTTGACATACTGTAGTTGTTTCATATGTAATTTGTATCATAATTGATATCTAAATTACGTCTCATAAAACAGATAAATCCATTTAATGAGGTTTAGATGATGCCATAAACATATTTGCTGAGTGCTCTGTTTACTTGTGGACATTTTCACAATGAATGTGAAAGATAATAACCTTAAATGAAAATGACCACACACAAAAAATTATATATAACTTATTTCCACAAAATAAAACACCAAAATTAACAAAGCACATACTATTTTTGATGAAGTACAGCACTGTGTTATATTATTATTATTAATGATGAAAAAATAAACTTTCCATGAATAGGATAATTTTTTTGTTTTTGAAACAAGTCTAATATTGTGAAATATTTTTACAATTTAAAGTATCTGTTTTTAATTTGAATATTTTTAAAATGTAATTTATTCCTGAATTTAAATGATGATTGTTTTAGCAGCCATTTCTACTGTATTCAGTGCCACATGATCCATCAGAAATCATTCTAATATACAGAAATCACATCAAATATGATTTTCTGCTCCAAAAAAGTTGAAAACAGTTGTGCTTAATATTTTTGTGCAAGCCATTTTTTTCAGGTTTCAGTTTTTTTTTTTTTCAAGTTTACTGAATAGAATCAAAACAAATAGAACAGTATTTGAAATAGAGATAATTTTTAAATGTCTTTACTGTCCGTTTTAATCATGTACTTTCACTAAATAACTAATATTAAATATTAATTTCTTTCAAAATCTTACTGATCCCAAACTTTTTAACAAAAGTATACTTCAAAACAACTATTAACTATTAGATATATTAAATAAAATAGTATCTTACTTAAAATTAATGTTTGAAAAGTTGCTAGTTCACATCAAATGTCTGTTTTCCTCCCTTTAAATTCCGATACAATCTTAATGTGTAAAAAAAAAAAAAAAAAAAAGTTATCAAACGAATATATTTTTACAAAAATTTGGAAAAGTTCATCATAACTACCGTGCAAAGCAACATTTGGTAATGCAAAATAATAATAATAATAATAAAGCTAACATTTAGTTTGAATTCCTGGGATGGATGAAAAATGTATTTGAAATGCTAAGCACCTCCTTTCACTTACTTTGACGTACACATCAGACTTGCAATCCCTATTTTGTACCGAAAGTGCCAAATATCTCAAACACCTCTGGTGCCTTTTAAAGTCATAAACATCATCTAAAGTTCAGCAATTATATATAAAAGCCAGCCGGGGAGAAAGACAGCTCAGAGGCAATTTTTCACGATGACTGAGGACTTTAAAAACTTGTTTATTTAGCTATTACATTGCTTGAATGGTGTGCCGAGTCCAACATATTCCCTGAACAATTTAGAAAAACTATTTAATAAAATATCTTTACATTAGGTATATTGTAAGTTAGCCCAAGCGCACAAACAAAATGCATAAATCATGACGAGGCACCAGAATGGGGGTCTCACAGAAAGCATCACATTATTTGAATGTAAACGCAGTAAGATTACCATCCCCTGATGATTGGACACTTGACACAGTGTGGTGCACTCCCTCTCTCTGAGGATAAGTCTGCTTTTGGTGTTGTTTTAATTAAGCGTGAGCTGCGGTGTGTGTTCCCGGGGCCCCGGTGTGGCCGTGGGCACATCACAGCCTGCTGAAAACCTGCTGTTTGCATCAGTCTGCGCAGAAGCCTGGGGAGTCCTCGCACTCTTTCATTAGACACAGGCAGAGTGGCCCTGCTGAGACACCGTACCTCCAAGAGAGGGAAAAATGAGTTTGCCTTGAGACACCGAAGTGGTACAGCCAGAACTCTCAGAAGAAATTACACGTCAGAAACAAGAAGCCGGAAACAGGAATTAAATGTAAAAATAGTACTTTATTCAGAACTATTTATTTTACTTGTCATTTTTTGAAACGCTGATGATTTAAGTGACAAAAATGAGAGAGAAAAACATCTTAAAATGTAACCATTTTAAAAGTACTTGTAGAAAAAGGATCGAAATTCACTCACATTATTTAGTTTAAAGGGATAGTTCACCAAAAAGAAAAGAAAATTCTGTCGTCATTTGCTCACCCTCAAGTTGTTCCAAGCCTGTTTCTTTTTGTTGAACACAAAAGAAGATATTTTGAAGGATGTTGGCAACAGCAGTTGACAGTTGCCATTGACTTCCATAGTATTTTTTTCCATGGTAGTCAATGGCTACCATCAACTGATTTGTTACCAACATTCTTCAAAATACCTTCTTTTATGTTCAACAGGAGAAAGAAACTCATACAGGTTTGGAACAACTTGATGGTGAGCAAATGACAGGATTTTCATTTTTGGGTGAACTATCCCTTCCACCTGAATAGAAATTGAATGTATATTGCTTTATTTAAACAGAATTCTGTAGTTAAATGTTATGTGCTTCCCCTTCATGGGAACTTCGAACTGCTCCCGGCGCTTATTTATACTATAGTCGCACCGGTAGTGACATCATGGCTGTCGCCGGCCAAGGAGTTGGTGTTTTTTCAATGTATGCTTCAGACACGGGTCACGACGAGGCGTTCCCCATAGCGACCCCTAGAGGACGCAGTGTCTCGTTCCCTACTCAGGGAACCATGGTTACATAAGTAACCTGAGACGTTCTTTTACATGAAATTTCAAGTTATACTTGATTTTGTATATCTTAGCACAACAATTAGGGTTAAAAATTATTCCTATTAAAAACAGTAAACAAAGGCTTTACATGGAGGAAAACCATATACAATACTGGGACTTGTTTAAAAAATAATTAAGTTATGAAGTAGTTAAAGTTATGTGGTAGATTTCTTTATGATTCCTCCTCGGGTTTGGTTGGAAGCAGATGTTTGGGATGTTTCGTGGAGTGGCATTGTCCTCCATTTAATTAGTCCGAATACAAAAGACTAGTGCGGTCGAACGATTAATCGCGATTAATCGTTTATATACAAGTTTTTGTTTATATAAAATATGTGTGTGTTCTGTGTATATTTATTATGTATATATAAATACACACACATACAGTATATATTTTGAAAATATTTACATGTATTTACATATCTATATTTATATTCATATAATTTATATTATAAATAAATATATTTAATATATAAGCATAACATATTTTTCTGAAATATATACATGCATGTGTGTGTATTTATATATACATAATAAATATACACAGCACACATACATATATTATGTAAAATAAAACTTATTTTGGATGCGATTAATCGCGATTAATCATTTGACAGCACTACAAAAGACAGAGTTCCAACTGCTGCCGAAACTGTGGCAATGAGAGGAAGGAACAGAGAAAACATCTGCTTGTGAAAATTTGTCCCTCATCATTAGACAATCCCAGAGACAAATCATTATTATGTTAACACAGTAACCACAGGAGCTTCCCCATGAGGCGATCATGCAATTATACACTATTAAACAAATTAAACAACAAGGAGTTAATTTAGGCTGTGTTTTTTTTCTTTTCTTTTTTGTTGTTGACTGACTTGCTTGCTTGCTTTATAATTACATTAAATTGTCCGTGCTACAGTACGGTTTTGGTCCAGACATCCAAAAGTCAATATTTCTACTTTAAAGACAAAAATAAACTGACCTTTATGGCAGTATCCTGATGTAGTTGTAAAGATTGCAGGTGTGCGCTGAACAGTGCCAGTGTGCAGGGCAGGTAGGCATCAGTGCTATTGGTCTCTCCACATCTACGGAAAAGGTGGAGAAAAAGGGCCGTGCTGTAATAGGTTGTTAGAACAGTACAACTGAGCCATCTGAAGTGAATAATGGCAGTCTGAATGTTTCATGATTGTGGTGTTGTCTTACCTTTGGTACAGGGTGTGGAGAAGCTTCTGTCTGTCTGTCAAGTGAAGGTGGAGCAAATTGAGCTCAGAAAGCACACCGAACGGCAGAGACTCTCCATTTTGGACAAGCAGGCCAAGATTATACCAACCCTGAGGAGACAGGAAATCAAATCTGAATTCATTGAAATGAAAAAAGAAAAAAAAAAACAATAATACAAAAATAAATAAAAAAGAAAGAATGAAAAAGAAAAACGAAATTAAATAAATGAAAATTCTATTAGAACAAATACAAATTGTGCATTAGAACAAAATATCGCTTGTAGAAAAATCACAAATAAACATTCAAATACTTGTTAGAACAAATAAAAACAAACAAGCAAATCTTTTAAAACAAACACAGCTTGTTAGAAGAAATAAAAGTTTGTTTTAGCAAACAAAAGAGCTTTTTAGAACAAATTAACTACATAGTTTTGTGTGTATTTATATATACATAATAAATATACACAGCACACATACATATATTATGTAAAATAAAACTTATTTTGGATGCGATTAATCGCGATTAATCATTTGACAGCACTACAAAAGACAGAGTTCCAACTGCTGCCGAAACTGTGGCAATGAGCTACAGGAACAGAGGAAACATCTATTTGTGAAAATTAATCCCTCATCATTAGACAATCTCAGAGACGAATCATTATTATGTTAACACCGTAACCACAGGAGCTTCCCCATGAGGCGATCATGCAATTATACACTATTAAACAACAAGGAGTTCATCCAGGATGTTTTTTTTTTTTTTTAATTTTACTTTTTTGTGGTTGACTGACTGACTGCTTTATAATTACATTAATTTGTCCATGCTACATTATGCTTTTGGTCCAGACAGCCAAAAATCAATATTTCTACTTTAAAGACAAAAATAGACAGACCTTTATCGCAGTATCCTGATGTAGTTGTAAAGATTGCAGGTGTGCGCTGAACAGTGCCAGTGTGCAGGGCAGGTAGGCATCAGTGCTATTGGTCTCTCCACATCTACGGAAAAGGTGGAGAAAAAGGGCCGTGCTGTAATAGGTTGTTAGAACAGTACAACTGAGCCATCTGAAGTGAATAATGGCAGTCTGAATGTTTCATGATTGTGGTGTTGTCTTACCTTTGGTACAGGGTGTGGAGAAGCTTCTGTCTGTCTGTCAAGTGAAGGTGGAGCAAATTGAGCTCAGAAAGCACACCGAACGGCAGAGACTCTCCATTTTGGACAAGCAGGCCAAGATTATACCAACCCTGAGGAGACAGGAAATCAAATCTGAATTCATTGAAATGAAAAAAGAAAAAAAAAACAATAATACAAAAATAAATAAAAAAGAAAGAATGAAAAAGAAAAACGAAATTAAATAAATGAAAATTCTATTAGAACAAATACAAATTGTGCATTAGAACAAAATATCGCTTGTAGAAAAATCACAAATAAACATTCAAATACTTGTTAGAACAAATAAAAACAAACAAGCAAATCTTTTAAAACAAACACAGCTTGTTAGAAGAAATAAAAGTTTGTTTTAGCAAACAAAAGAGCTTTTTAGAACAAATTAACTACATAGTTTTTAAAAGAAACAAATATCACTTGTTAGAACAGATAAACAGAAACAAACAAAAACTAACAAACTAAGACATAAACAAAGCTTGTTAGAACAAATACAGCTTATTAAAACAAAAACAAATAAATATAGCTTGTTAGAATAACTAAACAAATAAACAAACATACATTGTTCAAACAAACAAATAAATGACTTAGCTTATGTTTAATTTTTTTTCCAAATAATGACTTGAGATTACTAATTTAATAAATAATTACGATTCCTGATCATTCAAGGTTAGACTTCAGTCCATTTGCTGTCACGGGTACCTGTGGTTCGTTCTTGAGTGCTGCTTGCTTGTACATCTCTGCTGCATCAAAAACCTCTTTTGTGCCCAAAGCATGTTCACCATAGAACAGATCTCCCATTCTGATCAAAGCTAAGAGGGAAACAGACATCCATCACCACATGCAGAGACTCCAGCTTAAGCTACAGGGAGCTTGAGAAAGAGCACACATGTAGTGATGCACTGATGCAGGACATCGAGTCAAACCTCAGGTGCCCTTCACGACGAGCATTTCAGTTGACTATGAAGATATATGACTGCCACTCTGTATCCCACACTAAATTACATTAATTTTATATTCTACTGCAGCATTTGTCAACCTTTTCAGATGTAATATAAAAGATTAGACCCTAACATGAAAATCGAACATTTTAAACTAGAAATAAATAAAATGAAAAAAAATATATACAAATATAAAAATAAATAAATAAATGTAATTGTTTTTCCCATTCAATTCATAAAAATATGTATTTGAAAAAAAAATAAAAATACTTTCCTATAAAGTTCTTTACATTTTATATTTGTTATAACTTTTTTTATTTAAAAAAGGGATATACAATAGATTTTTTACTACCATTTTAATTCATATTTTAGTCTTAGATTTGTTAAAATTACCGTACGGAGCCGGATCTTGAGCCTGTATCGACATGTTATAATATCTTAACATGCACTGAGTCACCAGCGCTGGATCCAAAGAGATATAAAATATCTGTCAAAGCCAGTCGAGTGAACATGTTCATCTGAATCTAAAGCAAGTGTTTAGAATGGACTCACTGAGTTGAGCTCACACAGGTACGCCACATTAAACTGAGCTGCTTCAAATCCACTCTCTGCAGCACTCAGATAATAAATCAAAGACATGATCCTGCAACAATGAGAGAGAGAGAGAGAGAGAGAGAGGACGAAATAAACAATAGAAAGTGGCCTTTGCAACATCCTTTTATAATGTAAATGAAATCTAAAAGGACATTCATGTTGTAATTTAATATTATGAGAATTCTAGATTAATATAACTCTGTGGCCACTCAAACTGAAAGGTTTACCAGTCTCCTTTGAAATAGGCATTCAGTCCGTTCCTCAAGACTGTTCCCAGATATCCATTCTGTTCAGATGCCCATTTAACCCAACTACAGTTCAAAGAGAAAAATAAAAAAATGATTCCCAAAAAACCCAATAGCAAAATGTCAATTAGAAATAGCTTTGAGCCACAGAAAAAAAAATATTATTAAAAATATATATATTATTTATTTATATATTTTTTTTTCACATTCTTTCCTTAAAAAGTTTTCCACAAACCCCCTAACACACCCTTCCAGCCCTTACCCCAGTTTAAAAACCCCTGGTTTTAAACACATATTTATGCAAAACTTGCTAGATGTACCTGATCTATTGCTTTCTTCATGAATATCACAGCTCTCTGAACATCTTTTGGAACTCCTTGGCCCTGTTAATACAAGATAATATGATCTTTAATATGTTCGATCTCCTCTAACCTTTCTCTTAAGCAATATTCACTTCAAATGCTTTGCAAGACTGCCCTCTGCTGGCCACATCAGATATTCTTTATTAACCATGGCACAATGAAACATCAGAATCAATGATTCAGGATTGCATATAAGAGCAAAGACACAAAGGATCCTGACCGTAAGGAGCACAATGGCGTAGTCGTACATGGACACAGGGTCATGGAGTTTGGTGGCCCCTCTCTCATAGTGTTTCACTGCTGTCTGAATGTCTGGAGACACTCCTTGCTGACCCCAGAATAGCATACGACCCATTGCTTGATAAAGAAAAATTAATAATTAAATAAAACTACCATTTAAAAGTTTGGGGTCAGAAATATTAAATCAGCACAACGGTTTTCAACATTAATACACATCATAAGAAATACTTATTGAGCGACAAAATCAGCATAGAATGATTTCTGTAAATAAATTACATTTTAAAATATATCAAAATGGAAAACTGTTATTTTTTAACTGTAATAATATTTGATTCTATCACAATTTAATATATTAGTACAGAGGAATAACATCAAAATGGAACATTCTGTGCATTTTATTGATTCATTTTTTTAGCTGGATGCGAGTTTTAGTACCTCGGCTTCAGCCACTCCACTTCTAGCCTGCAGCTTTAGCGAGTGAAACAGATCATCGTTTTCATTGGTTTGGGCCTTCAGGGTCTCTTCATCATTTAAACGTATTAACTCAACAAAAGTTGCTTTGAACAACAAATCATTAAATTTAAGGGTTACGTGTAAGAGTTTTTATGCGAATTTAATTTCATAATGACCTCCAATATGTCTTAAATTTGATACCAAATTAGCTGTAAAGGAAATGCAGCACATTCATTCAGACAAAAAGACATTTTCAATGTTTTGCTGTGCCTCACAGCCTCATTTGTATCTCTAAATCCTGTATTAAAACTGGAAACTGAAATTTTATTTATCCCCTATAAATGCAGGATGAAGTTGACAGAGCCTCTAATGGGACTTGGTGATGGAAAAAATGAGATGGGAGGAAAATGCTTTTGCATTCTCAAGACTGGAACCATCCGGTTATGTTCATTTTTGATATTACGGGAGGAAGGTGAATCTCAGCCTGTGAAGACGTAAAATATCTGTTAGTTTCTTTAAAAATAAGCAATTTCTAAAACTCCCAATTTGAGAACCAAACCTGTGGCCTTTGTGCACCAACCTATCATGCAATACTATGAGATCATTAAACATGTATGGGTCCAAATACTAGTCTATCTCACCACACGCCCCAGAATCTCCAGGCTGATATGACACCACTGATGAAGAGGAACCTTAAAAGGTGAAAGGAACACTGATGAGTGGCCGGTGTCTCCATGCACCTGGACATGAATATTACCTTATTTTTTAATATTTTACGAATCAGACAAAAGTGAATTCTGTAAGTGATAAAAAACAGAAATGAGTGAAAGTGGTCTGAGCGGTTCACAGCCTTACCAGTGTCAGTGAGGAATATTGTAGGAGTGGCATAATTATTTTCAGCGTCAATATTGTGGAGCAGAAGTCCACATAAATGGTTACTGCAAGGTTTCTCCACCAAAACCCAAAACGAAACAGCAAACCTAAAGAGTCCAAACCATGACGTTATTCTGTGATTTAAATAAGCTTTGTTGCCAAATAAGTACAAATGCAGAAGCTCTCACCAGGGATAATAGATGGATTTGACTCTCAGCCCTTCCAAAACTTCATTTCTGAATGGCTGGAGGGTTTTGATGATGCTGTAACATTCACCAGTAGAAGCATAAATTGTGGAAAGAAGCGATGCCACCTCTTAAAAGAACAGAGTGAAAACTTGTGAGAAAAATGTAGGCCTATTACATGCATTTTTTATAATTAAACTTGCAAATAAAAACACCAAAAAAGGCAATCATTGTATTGTATTGCAATTTGACTTGTTGCACCATATCCGCATCAAGGGCCGTTGCAGAGCAGGATTTCATGTAATCAAATGCCAAAGCAGGCACCCAAGCACGCCAACAGGCCCGGAATAACATCCTGTTTGAGCTGCAGGTGTAAGTGTTTAAGCAAACAGAACGGAGGAGTTTAACGCATATCTTGCATAGCTCATGAATAATTACTCTCGGGTTAAGCGCTGTATAAGATTCTGGACAACTGTAATTAGCATTGGAATGTACAAGTGAGGCTTCAAGTACATGTGTAATATATTAATAAACACCCAATGCAGTTTTAAAATTATGCTAGAACTGTGCCCTGTGCAGATATGCCAATGAATGTTGTGCATTTCAGAATTAGCTCCGTTTCAAGTTATTTTAATTAAATTAGCCACACCCACAGGAAGTTGAATTGGAATAACAGCAAGTGGCATTGAGAGAAATTCAGTAGGTAACAGCATTCTGGGTAATAGTGTTTCTACATGTGTCCCCCTATTCATATAAGCACATAAATAATGTACATATTTAGATATGTGACATTGCAAACAGATCCATCTATCGATCGATCGATGGATTGAGATAGATAGATAGATAGGATAAAATTTTGGGGAGCTACTGTATATTTTAACAGGGAAAAAAACAATATGGAATAATTGAAATCTCAGTCTTTTAAAACAATTTTTATTGCTTTCATGCAGGAGTGCCATAAAATTCGAAGACTACAGTTTTGAACATTACAGAAGATGCAAAATTATCTTTTTTACTTTGTCTCTCCACCTCTCTGTACAGTATAGGCATAAATAGCTCAAATGGAGAAGTGAACAGGAATATCTAAATGGGGAACAGTCTAAAACAGCTCCCATCTCTCCCCTGTCCATGTTTGAGAACTGGTGTTGAGAACATGCATCAACACGGTGAAATGCAGTTTACTGGACCGGACTGACGCACGCGCACACTGACATACTGACAAGAGCTTCTTCGTGCAAAAGAGGCACAGATGAAACAAATACATCTGCAAAGTTGTATACCTGTTAAAGACTGATTGGTTGATATACATTTGGATGTGGTCTTGTACCATCTTTCACAAAAGAAATGATAGAAGAAACAGGCGATGTTTCGTGCAGCGCTGCTTTGGTTTGCCTCCAGGTATACGTTGGACCTTCAAAGCCTGTGGGTAAAAACTATAAAAATGCATAGTGACATCCCTCACCAAGCCGTTTGATTCTTAACCTCCTCTCTTTTCAGAAAGTGTGCTTGTAATTTTCAGTGCTCTGGGATAAAAGACATGCATCTTAGTGAACATCGTGTAAACCATAAGAAGACGAGAGACTGGTCTCCACTTCCTCTGAAAATGCACAGTGGTAAAATCTGCTCGAACATCTGACCATTTAAAGGCAAGTCACTCCATTATAACAGCAATTGCGTGTGGCCTAGCTTTAAAATTACATAAAAGAGCACTTGAAATCTAGGATTTGACTTTTTGTGGGTCAAAGGAATAGTATGACCTAATTCAGCAGAACAGAATATATCCAAGCTCTCTTTCAAACATGTCAGAAGTAGTAAATGTAGACACCCACCCGTCCACCACAATTTGGACAATCTGCACCTCTATAGAAAACCTATTTAAGATCAGATCTCAGATCAGAGGTCTAACAAAACTGAAATATATCCTTTGGGAAGTATATACATTTTCTAGACGGTGGCTTTAGTTTGGCACTTTGAAGATGGCAAGATCCGCTAAAGCTGTAATTACTGTAATTTGAACAAATTAAGGTATGCATTCACCTTACATTTTATTTCTTTTCTTTTTTAAAGACATGTTTTCTTGGGAACTTGTTTGGACGATGTCATTAGAAACAGTCAGCAAACAGGGCATGGTTAAGCGTAAATGCTCAAAAAACATTATTGTGCATGTTCATAAACCACCTTGTATTTTCTAAATGATTTGGAATGATCGACAATGATCAATTATTCTAATCGCGTAATTCTTCACCATACTAGAAATCCCTGAAACCTTAGAGATACGTTCAATGTCTTGGTTTGTGTAAATTCCAGCATATTCTAAATTTTCTTTACAAAACCGACACATCAACATTTAGAAATAGTGCAACATATTTTAGGGGAGTTTCACACTGACAGTTCAGCCCTTTTACAGTTTCTCTGACCATTGACAAACACTTATCGAAGAGTACCATTAAACGTTCAGCTGACAATTAATTTGAACTTGAAAGACAAAGGAGTGTGCTGATAGAAACGAAAGAACCAGGCTGTTTCGCGTTTTAAGCAAAGGGGAACAAGAACCAAGCAAACATCTAGGAGCATTCAAAGTTCAATCAAACAAAGGCGATCCGTGCCAAACTGATACTGATTATACAAGGAAAGAAAAGTCCATCAGAGGGAAGATTTGAAAGTCTTTTTGAAAGTCTGGCACTGTCTCCTGCTGAATAAATAATGTGTTACATTCCCAAAAAATAGTCCATCCCATTCCCACCCTCTCCCAAAATCATGCTTGTTCCTAAGTGTTCCTCTGAAAAAGCAAACATTTCTATAAAGACCTCAGAAAGGTGTCTGGTGGTGCCGTAACTTCTGACCAAAAGGGGGAAAAAAATAAACATTTATATTAACAACACGACAAAAAGAACTGTAAGGGGAAAACAAAACAGTTATCCAGTTGTCTTATTTCTTCTGTTTTTTGAAGATCTTGAAGGTATGTTTCTTGCGACTGGCAGCAGAGTCAGTGTCTTCACCTGTGGAGCCACTGTCCTCCTCTAGGGGGCTCTTTTTCGAGGAGATCTGGGGTATGCGGTTTCCGGCTTTCCCCCCAGTCAGTCCAGTCGGGGACGGCGTATCGGGTTCAGTGGAGTTTGGGCTTAAGGAGCGTGAGGATTCCGACATGGACATCACCGCTTGGGAGCCTTGGATCTCGCTCATACTGGCGGATTTCTCTATGCCATACACCTTCTTCATTAATATGGGACTATCAGATCCTCCATCGGGAGATGCCCCCACATCGTGAACTCTGTTGCCTCCGTTGTGGGTTTGGGAGTGAGCTCCCTCTTCAGAGCGTGAATGGGGGCCATGCAGGAGCGAAGTGGGCTTCACAGGGAAGCCTTTGGAACTGTAGGATAGACGTAGCTGCTCGCCAGTCTGGGATATACACAAGGAGGAATCAGAGTCGGAGCGATTCAAGTCCCTGTGAATGAAAATAGAGAAATTAGCATCAAGAAATGAGTGAGATATCAGACTAATTCTAAATAACCAAGACAACATGCTGGCTATATGTAAGGTAACACTGCATTTACTGCTACCTGAACTTCGAGTTAAGCCCGCAATAAAAGCAACATTTCCAACCTCAAATGTTGTCTAAACTGAAGCACAACATGCCAAGGCTTAACGACTCAGTGCTAGAAAAGTACAAGCTAACAGAGCAGGGGTGTCCAAGTCTGCTCCTTTCAAGCAGATGTACTGGTGCATGTTGGACCTAAACTCTACAAGAAGGTGGTCCTCCAGGAACAGGATTGGACAGCCCTGATATAGGGTTGTGGCTAGAAGGGATACAGCTATGGCAGGAAGTGATGCAAAATCTCACCATAAAATAACAAATTAAATTTGCCACCTATCACATTGTTTTATTAACATCTACACCTACCCAAACCCTAAACCTACCCTTACAATAATGCAAATACAGTAATTGTTGTTCAGCATGATAAAAATGATGCAATATCGATGTGCGCATGCACAGTAAGCCCTGGTGCCCGTAGCTGTATCCCTTCTAGCCTCAAACCTAACACAGAGACACCCAACATCAAGGGTGTCCAGTCCTGCTCCTGGAAGGCCACTGTCCTGCAGAGTTTAGCACCAATCCCAAATAAGCACACGTGAACAAGCTAATCAAAGTCTTCAGCACTTTTCGAAACTTCCAGGCAGGTGCATTGGGGTAAGTTCAAGCTAACTAAGACTCTTCAAGTCCAAGTCCAAATCCAGTCCCAGTTTAATTAAAGTTGAAAGTAAAGTCTGCAGGACCCTGGCCCTCCAGGACTGGAGTTGAAGAGCCCTGAGCTACACTCTGCAGGATGTTAGCCACCCCTGCACAACATGGTCAATTCAGGCATGCAGGTGTGAGAATTGGTTCAAAGTAGGGGACAAACATTGCAAGAACAGATTAAGCAACAAGGTAGAATGTCACAGGAAGATGCACAGACAAGTTGCAAGTCACAGTGTCATGAACTGTAGTGAGTATAGCCAATTACAGCAACAAACCCCACAAGTAGTGGTTCACCAGAAAGTGTGAAAGTGGTCCTGTTAAATGTTTTGGACGAAGTACCAGGATCATGCCAGGTGAGAAGCACAAATCAAGCACAACAGAATGAAGTGATACCCATAGCTGCCGCAATGGCGGGGGCGCTCTGGGCTGGCATCATAGGGGAGGTCTGGGATGGTGTCCATAGGCAGGAAATGTGAAGAGTGATAGTGGGATGCATGAGGGGCAGTAGCGACGGAAGAGCAGTGGGGAGCGTGGGATGAGGCAGCGGAGTAGATAGCAGGATGAGACACTGCTGAGGAAAGAGGAGGCAGTCCCAGAGAGTCAAACTGCCCAAAGGATTGGCTGCGTGCCTGGCGTAGCACTGTCCTAGACCTGGACGAGTACAAGCTACCCTCCCCTTCCTGCCCACCAAGTGCGAGGCAACTCTCTACCAACCTCTGCGAACCCAGGGACAGCTGCGGGTCAATGTGCCGTTGTCGGAGTGACATCATACTGGGAGCTGTAGGGGCACAAAACAATAAGGTCACTCAGAGAAATGACTCAAAGCATGCAGACACTGTAATAACATTGGGTGATGGGTGGCAAACTGGAAAAGGTGAAACAGGAAACTTTGAGACTAAGGTGCGAAGAAGGAAAAATGTACATATGTGCACAGTCTCAGTGGCTTTTCTCAGAAATAGACACAATAACTAAGTTGTGGAGCAGTTTGGACCCTAACCATCCCTTTAATGCATTTCTTCTTATCACATTTCCTGTTTCTATCCATCAGGAATTGATTGGATTGTGAAAAACAAAAGGGATTGGTGATGTCAGTTGATAAGGAAAATCATATCAGGTGATTACTATCTTTTGATTAAATATCTTTATACTTCTACTTTATACTTGACTCTAATTGTTTATGATAAGACCAGGAATGTGTGCTAAGGAAGTAAAAAAATGTCTATTTTAATTTCATACTGACTCCAAGCTTATTAAGTTGCACAAAACGTAAAACAGTATCATGTAAGGATCGACTTGCAAGTCTGAACTTAACTGTGATAAACAGATTAGAAAACAATACAAGCTAAGAGAGGTCATGCATTTCAGAGTAAACCATTTCACAGCTGTGGACAAGAACAAGATTGAGATGTGTAGACTCGGAGTGTTTCTTTCGGTTCAGTTTCCCTTTGTAGTAGCTAGGGTTATGGGCAGCATATGGCTTTAAAGGAGAGAGGTTCAGGAAAACAAGAGGAAGTAAGAGGAGTGGTTGGGGTGAAGGGCATGGTAGTTTAGCCCACCAGAGTACTTCCAAAATGACTGGCAATCCGAATTCAATGACCAGAGATCACTTGCTCGGCGGCCCATTTGCCACGCTGCATCTGGAGGGGGTAAGGGCAAGGGTAGGGGTGCAACTGTTAATAACTGTACTACTAACACAGTGCTGCAAGAACAGATCTCTACTTTTTGGCAATGATTTGCTCAATTAATTTAAACACTTAAAGGATTTGTATAAATCCTTGAGCCAACAAGTTCTAATATGAAAATAGCTATGAAAATTAACTATTTGTTAAAACAGCAAGTAAGATATATTGTGGAAAGACAGATCAGCAATACAAATTTCAAAATTAATACATTTTGCCCAATAAACACCAATTTTATTTAATGTTTTGTACCTGGGAAAACAACTATTTTCTTAGAGCTTGTTTGATAACATTATTTCACACATTACAATTATTACAATCCACAACAACAACTTCAGATTTCGACTTCAGACTTGTACTGGACCTCTAATCTTAACTCGCATATGGAACGGTTTCTTCTGGCCTACTCCGTAACCCTCCATCAAATTTAATATGATAAACTGAAAAAAAAAAGAAAAAAGATATGTACAAAGAGTGCATAGTTGCTATATCAAAAACATATGACAGCAATGTGTAGAGCAGATCTTGAAGTACTCCTCTCTGTGTAATACAAATCTGTAGATGGGGGGAAAACGCTCCAGCAGAACGCATATATAAGAAGTGTGCAAACACGCTCGGTGCATACAACCATTTCTGACAGAGCTTGCGCACAGACAATCTAAATAGCTCAAACCTAGGGATTTTTAGATTTGGTCAAAAGGCCACGAGGTCTTTGCTGGCCTTTGGCTGACAGGGGCTTATCCCCATCGCTGTCTGGCAAGTCCTTACATTGGAGTGTTCCTGGTGCCACTATGTCCTCGTCCATATCATCCATGTCGTCGGACATGAAGTGCTGGGGTGTGCCGCGGCCGCCCATGAAACTGGGGTCCAGGTTGAGGGCAGAGGCCAGAGAGGGCAGGCCTGGGTTATTGACCAGCGTGAAGCCTGTTAAGATCTCAATCTGCTGCCAACGATGGAGTCTCTCTCTCAGAGCTGCTGTTACCTCACCCAGAGCTTGCCTTGACAGAAAGAGATTAAAGGCAATACGTGTTAAAGGGTTCATTTTTTATTCTAATAATTGGCTTTATTTCTATTTTTTAAATTAGCATTCAGAAATATTGAGAAATGTTTATGTGACTTACTTAGCTGAAAGTATTTTGTGATCCACATCATCCAGTGAGGAACTATGTGCCACATGGAACGTCCCAAATAAAGTATTTCTCTTCTTCTTAATCTTTTCTGCCTAAAAAAAAAAGAAAAAGTCAAAAAAAAATTTTTTTTAATTATTATTATTATATAATTTATTATATTATAAATACATCTACTTATCTCACAAATCTATTAAAGGTTTTGTTTCACCAAATCATACGATTTTTGTTAATTTTCTAGAAGTCTAGCATCCTAAACCTTACATTACAAAAAAATTATCTATTTTCTGATATTAAAATATATACTTATTTGACTATCATTATTAGTAGTATTCTATTATCATCTTAAAACATTAAAACATTTTTTAAAAAGACATAGTAAAGTTTTTATCATCACATTCTAGGGTTGTACTACAACAAAGTTGCACTGTCATTAATAATCTAAATGTGTTTACCATTGTTACATCTTAGCTAAATGAATGACTGCGACAAATGCTGCTCACCCCCTCTTTGGCCACCTGCAGCTGTCTCTCTGCGTTCTGTTTTTTGATGTTGTAGTACTGCACCTCCACCTCATGAGTGAGCTGCAGCCATTTCTGCAGGGCATTAGGAGGAGACCAGCTACTGCGAGACTCCAGCTCCTTCTCTGCCTTCTTCAGGGCCATAACCACCTGCAGGGGTCACCAGAGACACATCAGATCAGAGTACAAAGCAAAGCAGATCGTCAAGCAAACCTCACAAGGCTGCTTTCAGATGAGAGCACTTTTTAATCAATTAAGAAATCGCTCTTATCAGCTCATTAATAAAAATACTATTACAGTTTTTATTTATATTTGAATTCTGTTTCCGTTATATTTTTCGTTAAAGTTTTAATTTTGTCAGGTTTCTGTGGGTTTTTTATGTCTATATAGTTTTTGGTCATTTTTATTTCTGTTTTAGTCATTTTAGTACTTCAAGTTAAACTAAACAATACTGAGAAATATTGTCTTGGCAGTTAACTTAAGTTGTATTATAATTGTTTTCAGTTATTGTTGATTTTATTTCATTTAACGTTTTTTTAATGGTTTTAGTTTCGTTAACAATAACCTTGCCACACAGAACCCTACGAAATTGGTAAATGCTGCAAAATAACAACCCAAACACTTGGATACTGAAATTGCAACGTAGTATTTAACCTTTTAACTTCTATTTATCCCATAATTTGCATATGCGATTAGGACAATTAGCTAATTTACATGACTCATGAATGACTCATTTGGCAAGCTAATGAGAATAAACAGCATAAATTTCACCACCTAAAACATTTTGCTACAACAAGATGCAAATTAATTAGACACAGATAAGCTTTACACCCCAATCTAACCTTACTAGGATAAACACAATTAATCAACTCCTCCAGGCTCCATTATAGCAGTAAATAAACAGATCTCATCCAATAAGGGCCTAGGGGAGTGGGCTGAGGGGTCGGAGAGCCGAAAGACCCCTTTTCTTATAGAACAGCGCTAATGAGCTTCAAACCCACAGAGATTTGTACCGCCCTCTGACCCAGAATACCCACTTAGCGCCAGGGTTTTAATAGGCCAACATGAAAACAAACAATTCATCCAATTACATCCAGAGATGCCACTTGTGGATTTCATACATATAGAAACCTGAAATACAGATTGAATAATATAGAAAATATACATATACTGAAACCTTATACGGTCACAGAAAGAACCAATGGCTGTCCTTGACACATTGGAGCTTGTTACAATTCCGTGATCAGCTTCTGCAAAGATTTTTCACCAGATCTGAAGTATTAAACTGCCCCTTATGCAACAGCACTGCGGTAATCGCTGAGTAAAGTAGGCCACAGCGTGGTGGTACACTGGATACTGCACTGGGAAGATACTCAAACTTCATCAGTACAGGAAATCATTTTGTTGATAACCTTTCAGATCATCTTGCAAGCATTTCCACCTACTTCCTGACCAAATCAGAATCAAGATATGGGCAGTATTGCAGAACCACACTTGAACATCTTGCATATTTATTAGGTGAATTTCACCTGCTCCAGCTCCTCCTCTGCATATTTCTGTCGGCTCAGCTCGTTCTCAGTTCCCTCTCGGAGCCCCTTCAGTCTCTGCGCTTCTTGTTTGGCAGCATTGATCTCATCCCTCAGCTTCTGCTCCAAGTTTACCTTCTCCACCTCCACTGAACGGTGTTCCTCCTGAGCAATCTGCAGCCTGCGAGAAGGCAAAGTAAACCACACAGAATAAGTCGCAGAACACTAGTGTTACATTCTGCCAGTACAAAATGTTTTCAAGAGATTTATTTTGCTTGACCGCAGTGCAAAAGTCAAGAAAACGTAGCCAGCAGGGTAAAATCAACAACTTGAGGATCAAGCAGAAGTCAAATGTTTGTTTTAGCAGTGGGCTGAATGAAATACAGGTGGCAAAGCATTTCTACTAATGCTAGGCACTCACCTAACAAGGCTCGCTTTAGGGTGAAAAGTTAAACTTTGCAATTAATATTCATGAACCAAGCCATGCCTGGCAAAGGTGCACTAGAAGACATGAACATACAAGTCATAAAAATGACAAGTTGGCATTTTTATGGGATTACACCTCTGCCACAATTCTGCGCGTGAAAGATCGTATTTTGAGCTCGCAAAAGTGCGTTTTGCTGCCTTGACAACCAATCACAACATTCCTTGCATTACCTCGACAGCAGAAGAGGAAAAATACAGTGCATGCATAATTATTATGCAAGTTGATATTCTGATCATATTTTTTTCCAAGCACATTTTACCAATTCCAAACGACATCAATCTTAATAACTACTATTAATCTTGTATTTAATCATTTATAATTGATATATAATTATTCATGAAGGCTGGAAGTGAAAAATGTCTTCTATTCAGGTGTGCATAATTAAGCAGATTTTCTTTTACAGATACAATGAGCCAAAAAATAAATTTAACTCCGACTGAAAGTCAAAAATTATTAAATTCCCATGAGAAATATTCAAAACGAATACAATACTAGAAATTGCAAAGTCAATGCATAACCATTGGACAGCAAAATGCTCAGTGGGTCAGCAGGGTCAGCCAAAAACATGTGGAGAAGGAAAGATGCATGTTAACTGCAAAATAATTAGGAATTAAGGTGAAGAATTAGGTGTGAAATCACCAGGAACCAGAAGTACAAGGTGTCAGGTTCTCAGAGACTTAGGTTAAGTATAGAATCCTAAAAAATAACCCCTACTTAATAAGAATAACATACTGAAGTGTAGTAAAATACTTGAAGACTGATTTATAAATATATATATATATATATA